GATACAACGGGTCTTACATCACGAAATGCATCAAATCACGTTAGCACCTTGATTAAAACATGAAAAGATCTGGAAATTATCTCCTGACAACGAGTTGGCGGTGCACATGCTTTGCAAATCCTGCAATCGACTGAAATCTGCACGTCAGTTTACGAACCGGATTTCGTTGCGCGATTTTGATTGGACTTTGCAAAGACTCGTTAGTCCAGCCAAAATGTAACTCCATAATACCAGCCTAGTTCGGCAAGGGTGGAAACTGGACTTTTAACTCTCTTCCCTAGGGAAGATGCAGTATGACATGATTAACCAACTCAGACACAGTATACCGACTCCGAACCTGCCAGTCATTCTTTTATCCCCTTAATCCCGAGCGCCAGCAGGATAAGAAGAAAAGAGCCATCATTTAACGTATTTTGGTATGACGCGGATAGGGGTTCGAACCACCGACCTGCCGCTCTCGTGGCAGACGCTCTATCACTAGACCTCGAAGGTGATTATAAATCCCATTAAGTGAGTACTACACCTATGATGGATATTGATCATGAAGCTATATGTGTGTACCCTCATTAAACTAAGTGTAACTGTATATATTATTTTATAGATCACTTACATCCCTCTCGGATGTTCGACCGTGTCAACACTTCCATCGACCGATGTCTCACCACTTCAACGATGACATCCAGGTTAACAGGACCATAGACGTATCTGTCCTTCGTAAAAGAGCAGTTTTTTTGCGCCAAGTCTATGTGTCAAAATTGGAGTGACGACAGCCATTGTGTTTTTCGGCATCTTAAAAAGGCGGTCGCATAAAAAAGGCGGCCAGATAGTCAACTCCGGATATAATGAACTCGTTATATCCGATGTTCGCAATTCACATTGACAATAACGTCGAGTACCATCTGTATTCCGATGTATCCCAAGTTGATCAAACATTCACACATCTTCCGAACACCTCATGGCACCTTCACGACGCTATGATACCTTCCGGACACCTCATGGCACCTTCACGACGCTATGATACCTTCCGGACACCTCATGACACCTTCACGACGCTATGATACCTTCGGGACACCTCATGGCACCTTCACGACGCTATGATACCTTCCGGACACCTCATGACACCTTCATGACGCTATGATACCTTCCGGACACCTTCATGACACCTTCATGACACTATGATACCTTCCGGACACCTCATGACACCTTCACGACGCTATGCTACCTTCCGGACACCTCATGGCACCTTCACGACGCTATGATACCTTCCGGACACCTCATGACACCTTCATGACACTATGATACCTTCCGGACACCTCATGACACCTTCATGACACTATGATACCTTCGGGACACCTCATGACACCTTCACGACGCTATGATACCTTCCGGACACCTCATGACACCTTCACAACGCTATGATACCTTCCAGACACCTCATGGCCCCTTTCACGACGCTATGATACCTTCCGGACACCTCATGACACCTTCACGACGCTATGATACCTTCCGGACACCTCATGACACCTTCACTACGCTGTGATACCTTCCGGACACCTCATGGCAACTTCATGACACTATGATACCTTCCGGACACCTCATGGCACCTTCATGACGCTATGATACCTTCCGGACACCTCATGTCACCTTCATGACACTATGATACCTTCCGGACACCTCATGGCACCTTCACGACGCTATGATACCTTCCGGACACCTCATGGCACCTTCATGACACTATGATACCTTCCGGACACCTCATGACACCTTCACGACGCTATGATACCTTCCGGGCACCTCATGGCACCTTCACGACGCTGTGATACCTTCCGGACACCTCATGGCAACTTCATGACACTACGACACCATCCGAAAACCCCATGACACGCTCACAACACTGACACCTTGCGAACACCCCACGACACCTTCCTGACACACGATGGCAATTCTTGACACCCCACGACACCAATCACACATCTCTAACACCATCGTGACATACCAGGACTGACACCTTCCGGGCACCATCCTAAAATAGCAGATACCGCATGACACATCCCTGACACCCTATGACAACTTCCTGACATCCCCTGAAACCTTCCTGTTATACCATGACACCCCAGATACAGATGACATCCTCTTGATGACGCCACAATATGACATCCATAGCAATATTACAGCAGGGGCGACAACCTCATGAATCATCAATGCAAGAAAAGAATTCCGAATCCATCTTTATAAAAGTCCCAAAACAAATGTTGTTTCTTTGGAATAATGGCGCTTGGACACGGAGCTATTCTCCCCCGTGAGGGGCGGTCGGGTAGCCTAGTGGTTAAAGCGTTCGCTAGTCACGCCGAAGACCCGGGTTCGATTCCCGACATGGGTTCAATGTGTGAAGCCCATTTCTGGTGTCCCCCGCCGTGATATTGCTGGAAAATTGCTAAAAGTGGCGTAAAACCATACTCACTCACTATTCTCCCCCGTGAAAACCAGTAATTTGTTTAGCCGTCTTTTTCCGATAATCTCAGAATGCACTTGGATTGTTCCTGAGTGTAACCAGCCCCAATCGAATGTCAGGGTAGATCCATGACCCCTAGTGTGGATCCTATACACTGTCCACCACGACGAAGACCCGTGTCGTGTGGGGCTTCATAGTCATCATGCATTGACGAATCCATTAGAAAGTCTCGTGTTAATCGATGTGAAACAACATACCAGCATCAAATGGTCGGAGAAAGGTTGCTTGGTGTCTGGTTTGTTGTCGTGATGATTTTCAATGAGCCGTTAATGTGGGTGCGTTGTGCTTTAGGCCAATAAAAGCAATATTCACCAAGGATCATAATCAAGGCAATCGAACCCACGATCAATATCATTCCCATGAAGAGCAAACAATTCAAACATGCAACTCTCTTTTCTCCTGTTTCAGTAAGCAATTAGATTTACTGGTGATACGTGTTTCAAGAAACACTAGCGCCTTATTAGACATAGTTTGAGGGGTGATTGATTAGTTCTGAGCCTCACATAGAAAGGCTTGACCTGAAGACATTATAAAAATATCATAATCCCATTTCACATGGATACACTTTGCCAACGATATTTCGTAGAAGTCCAATGTTTGGCTGTCCAAATAAGCTGCTATGACGCCATAGTTCCAGTCCAAATGGGTTCCACCTAGAGCGTTTTTCATGCTTGGGAACAGATGGACGTTTGGCTTAGCTAGATCAGGAGACTAAGAAGGAGTATAAAGCCACAGTCATTACTGATTTGTGCACTGGCGAATTGTCCTGATGTCAGGGCAAACCTTTTCTCAGGTTCCCACATCTCGTAGTCTTAATTTCTTCCCGTAATTGCCTCTAATGTGCAGCATAATATGTTCCGTTTATTGTCTGGCCTTTTGGAAGATAGTCCTGCATGATGACATCCTCGGCATCTCTGACCCGTAATGGGACCCCCTACGTGGTCTTGTGGTAGAGCGTCCGCCCGGAGAGAGGAAGGTCCGGGGTTCGACACCTAGTCGCGTGATACCAAAAGACGTTAAAAGATGGTACTTGTCGTTACCCTGTCTGGCGCTCGGCATTAGGGGCTAAAACAAGGACTGGTCGTCTCGGAGTCAGTATACTGTGTCTGAGTGGGGTATTCATGTTAAACTGCAGCATGGTATCTCAGAATGATAGCACTATAAATCGGCATCAGTCCGGACTAGTACAAGCAGCCACACACACACACACACACACACACACAAGTGCATGCACGTCGCTATATAAGTGCAATAATCTTTGACGCGACGTTAAACCTCGTTAAAACTCATTTCACCTCGACCCGTGAAGATCCGGGGTAGAATAGGTCTTCAGCAACCCATGCTTGCTGTAAAAAGCGAATATGCTGGTCGTAAGAGGTGACTAACGGGATAGGGTGGTCAAGACTCGCTGACTTGGTTGATGCATGTCATCGAATCGCAATTGTGTGGATCGATGCTCATGATATCAATCACTGGATTGTCTGGTCCAGACTGTATTATTTACAGACCGCCGTCATATAGATAGAATATTGCTGAGTGCGGCGTAAAACAACAAACAAAACATTTCACCTCACCTCACCTCACCTCACCTCACCTCTAATAGCAGCGCTGCAGCGCGCCCAGCTCAAACTGCGATCATTTCTTTAGGCTAGGTTTGCGATAAAAACATTTTTGTGATTATAAGTAGTCGCACTGTCTTGATAGTGTTAAAAACGAGAGGATTCCTTTGTTTTACAGATAAAAAAGAAAAACATTTAACAACATCGATCAAAAAACATTGAGACCAAAACAACAACTAAACCAACGCTGCACGAAATACGGGTGGCGCACGTTCTCCCACGTGCAAGAACTGGTGACACACATTACTTGAGCCTCGTTTTGAAGTGTTGATCCTCTGCGTCCAGTCATCAACATGGCGTGCAAGGGCAGTTTAAAGGTAAAATGTCTGTTGGGCTTTGCGATCGTTGTACATGTGATCAACGTTGTTGTCGTTTACAAACTTGGACTGCTTACCCGTGTTGCGAAGATAAGAGGACGTGGCCCCATCGTACTCGAACGAAACACATCATACATCATAGATTTTGACAAAATTCGTGAAGATATTTTTCCTAGGAATTCGTTCACTGACGTGTCACGATTTTTCATCAATGTCACAAAATCTAACAAACTCTCAGTGGACAGACCCATTCCTGATACACGCCCTTACGAGTGCAGAAAGGTCAATATATCCGGTGCAGCCCTCCCTTCTGTGTCTGTTATAATCCCCATGCATAACGAACCATGGTCGACTTTATTGAGAACTCTTCACAGCGTCATCAACAACAGTCCACCCCATCTTCTGTATGAAGTCATCGTCATTGACGACATGAGTGATCTCCCCTTCCTTATAAAACCTATGAAGCACTACCTGCGTCGATTCCCTAAAGTATCGCTGATACGATCAGCACATCGCTTAGGAACTATGAAATCACGGAATATGGGGGCCAAAATGGCTCAAGGGGAGGTTCTAGTTTTTTTAGATTCTCACACAGAAGCGAACGTCGGCTGGCTGGAGCCGATAGTTTGGGAAATATACAAAAACAGACGGACCGTCATTCAACCAGCAATTGATACCATTGACGCCATGACCTTCGAGTACCGGAAGTACATGGAGAACATGCGCGGAGAGATCCAGTGGAGCCTCGGTTTCACGTTTGCGCCGATTCCACCAAGAGCTTTACTAGGGAGAACCAGCACTGACCCCATACTTACTCCTGCTATCGTTGGTTGTTGTTTTGCCGTGGATAGAAGGTACTACTTGGATTTGGGGGGTCTTGATGAAGGGATGAAGACTTGGGGAGGAGAGGATGTGGAGTTCTCCCTACGGGTGTGGTTGTGTGGTGGCAATATGAAGATCCTGGAGTGTTCCCGTGTTGGTCATATTTTCAAGTCAGGACATCCCTTTGCCGTGTCGTATAATGATCTTCTCTACAACGAACAACGTATTGCGGAACTCTGGCTAGGGGATTATAAGAAGATTTTCTATGCAGTTCATGGGGGAAGAGTAACTCACTCCACCGACTTCGGTGACCTGTCCACAATCAGGGACACTCAACACAATCTAAACTGTAATCGTTTCACCTGGTACCTTGAAAACGTCTTTCCAGAACTTGACGTTCCACCTCTGTCATCTGTAAAATTCGGCAGTGTTAAAAATTCGGCAAGTTCTCTGTGTATCGGAATAGATAATACGTCACCAAATACTTTTCATTTGATTCTGTGCTGGGGGTCCGGATCTTCTAGCGTAGCTCTTACGAAAAACGGATTTCTGAAGGCGAGGGGCAAATGCATGGGGTCCGAGAACAGGTATATTGTGCTGAAGCCGTGCAGCATCGATGACCTTGGTCAACAGTGGACCTATACAGCCAATCAGCAGCTGGTGTGGCATGATGGGAAAAGTTGCATGATGCACGTGAGCGACCCTGACCCCGCGACAGGTCACCGTCAGACCATTATGTTGATGCCATGTGAAATAAAGAAGGAGCATGTGGAGTTTACACAATGGACATTCACCTACAGCCTCTCGTTTTCTGACAATATGTGAACAAAATAATTTCTTGCAATATGAAAAGCCAAGTCCCTGTTCCATTAAAGCTTAATAAATATGCATATGGTTTCATTTTTTCATTGGGGGCGATGTTAGAACAGTTCCCGTGATTACTTTGCGAGTCGGGTAGATTCAGTTCTCGGATGTATTTGACACTCGGTGGTCAGCATCGCTGACTTGGTTGATGCATTTCATCGTATTCCAATTGCGTTAATCGATGCTCATTGTGCCAATCACTGGATTGTATCGTCCAGACTGGATTCTTTACAGATCGCCGTCATATAGCTTGAATATTGCTGAGTGCGGCATTAAACAACAAACAAACAAATAAACCCTAATCTTGTATTTTCCCCGATGGCGTCAAGCGATGTTCAAATCGTAGGATCCCTTTGGGAGACGGGCTCGTAAAGGTCCCAAAACCATATTGCATGTCGCTACAGGCCTCACTGTGTGTTGAAGGTGGATACTCCAGTTTCTTTAAATATATTCCAGAGGGACACGTGAAAATGTGCGTCCATCTACCTTCCTATGTTTAAAGGGCACGGGTGGCCCAGTCGTCTAAGGCGCCGCGATTCGCACTGCAGAGTTGCGTCCCTTGGGCACGCCAGAAACCTATGATTGTGGGTTCGAATCCCGGTTCGCCCCGATTGTTTCTAGGTTTGTCAGCACCATACCCGTGCTCGTGGGTTTCACCGAAGTGGCAAACGTCTGAGACTTTTCCTCCCACATTAAGCTGACACGCCATGATATAACTGGAATATTGTTAACAGCGGCGTTACACCCAACTCCCTCACTCACTCACTCCTATGGTTAGGTACATTCTGCTGGAGTATCGCGCATGAAGCTGGGGCACCGTATGCACCCATGATCCCCAGTGAGATGGCCTATTATCCCGTGTTTTAAACTGTATAAATGATATTGTTATGCCCAAATATGTTTGACTAATTTGTTTTTAAATATAACTTTGTATTCAAGACTCAATTGCAAAAATGATTCAATCTTAAGTACCCCTATGCATGTCATGGTCACATTACCCGAGAAGGTTCGTGGTGGAATTGGTCTTCAACGACCCATGCTTGTCATAAGAGGCGACTAACGGGATCGGGTACATGTAATCGTATCCCAATAGCGTAGATCGATACTCATGATGTCAATCACTGGATTGTCTGGTCCAGACTCCATTCTTTGCAGACGGACGTCACAAAGGTGGAATATTGCTGAGTGCGGCGTTAAACAACAAGCAAACACACATGGTCACAGTATATACTTAAGCTGTGAAAAACACTTAATATTTCTCAAGGTATTGTAGGCATGTTATGGGTGTTAGCCATATAATTGGATTGGGAGTTAACTTTAGTAATAGCTGCTTGAAGCTTTTCAATCGAGGTTTCACCATCAAAGTCATTCCAGATGATATGATGAAAGACGTTCAGAGAAATTTACTAAACACGACACGTGGCTTGTCAACACGATATGGGTTGAGCAACGTCACGGGTAAGATGGCACTCGATCAACCGACTCGCAGCCTGATCAGCGGATCCAATGAAGTTGATTTTTACGACAAATCTGCTGAAGTGCCATCTCTTAACGTCAAGGGGGCACGGGGGGCACGGGGGGCCAAGTCGTCTACGGCGCCGCGATTCGCTGTGCAGAGTTGCGTCCCTGAGCCACGCCAGAAACCTATGATTGTGGGTTCGAATCCCGGGTCACCCCGATTATGTTTCTATGTTTGTCAGCACCATACCCGTGCTCATGGGTTTCACTGAAGTGGTAAATGTCTGAGAACTATATCACTTCGGGCTTTCCTCCCACATTAAGCTGACACGCCGTGATATGACTGGAATACTGTTAAAAGCGGCGTTAAACCAAACTCACCCACTCACTCACTCTTAACGTCACTTGGTATAAGACGGTCGGAGATGGAACGGATTCGATTATTTACAGACCGCCGTCATATAGCTGGAATGTTGCTGAAAGCGGCATTAAACAACAAACAAAACAATACAAAAAATTGTGACATGGATGTTATCAATGAGTCTAGCATTTCACATATTGTTTTTTCAGTAAACTTCAGATGGTATTTGCTTTCATTTTTGACAATTGACCTAAAGATAAATGTGCAAATGCATCTTTCGACACCACGTTTTGTAACAAAGGCTCAATGAATTAAGGGATGAATTTTTTCCTTTAGTTTTGCATGTGGGATTGTAGTGTACAAAAGCCTTCTTGTTATTGAATACCCGTGTGCCTCTGTTCAACACAGTAGATCATGGAAAGAATATTCGTGTTCTTCAAATTGGAGTTAGGTGAACATTTCGAGGACACGCCTCAACCAAAGGAAGGTCATATTGCATCGTGAATGGAGAAAACTCTACGTTCTCTACAGTAAGGACATTGAAACGTAACAAGGCATATTTGTTCTTACGTGCGTATAATCAGTTCCCTCACGAAATTGGAATGTGAATGAATTTGTAGAAGAAGTCGTGATGAGACAAACCGTAGCCCATGAAGCCGGCGTGGAAGGCCCCTGCTGTTACGAGTGGTCGCCATGTTTGCTCTGCTTGAGCCGGCTTTGAGGGTCGTTCTCAAAAGTTTGTATTTATTTTTGTCATCAAAGTTTATCAAAGCACAATTGTATAATTCATCCCAAAGATGAGAAACTGATGATGCACAAAATGTGTTAAATAAACTGCGGAGTGACGCCCAAGTGTGTTTTAAGTCAGAAGACAGAGATACAAATTACTTTGGTTTTTCATGTTGAATTATTGTAGACCTTGAATCGGCCCCCATCATTCGGCAACAACAATCGGAAGAGGGCCGTTTGCGACGTAATGGGCGAACTATTTCTGTTACGGCAACGCTTCAAAACTCAAATATCACGAGAATTTAGTTGGTTAATCCTGGCGTTTAATGGGGAGAGTTTATGTTAAATTCCGATAGCGTTTCAGATGGAATTTCGTCAGCTTTGTTTATATTTTGGGTCGTTTGTGAAACTGTTGGCCCATGAACCGGTAAATAAATTGAAAATGGTCATTATAAGCTCTTCACGTAATGTTTTGCAACATGTTCGGAATACTTTGTGCTTGACTAATTTAGTTCAAACACCCGCGTAAAGGAAAATTAGCATTGCAAGCATAGTCCAGATTTTTGGCTAAGAGCAAGCGGCTTCCATAAACTTTGCGTTTTCCATAGGCCGCTTCTGATCATTAAGGGGTGATAGGGTAGTCGAGTAGTTCATGCGTTGACTTGTCACATCGATGACCGGGTTCGATTCCCAACATGACTGAGGTCGATTCTGAGTGACCCAGGTTTTGATATTGTAAAGGACTTGACGAAAAGACCTAACAGAGGTCACTCATGACCATATGAAACTTTCGAATTGACAAAAACAGCGAACAGAGGTCCCTCAGACGGCCATTCTAAACTTCCGGAAAAACAAAAAGAGTACTCGGATGTCACATCATTGCTGATATTCCAGTTACGTTTCTGGCATTTGTCGATAGATCGCCTATATATGATCAGGCAACAATCCAGTGATTGATATCATGAGCAACGATCCATGCAATTTTGATACGATGACATAAATCAACCAATTTAGCGAGCCTAGCCACCCGATCCCATTAGTCACCTCTTACGACAGAACAGAACAGAACTTTATTACGCCCAAGGCTACAAAAAGTAGCATGTTGAGGTTTAACAGGAGATGTGACGTATAATAGTGATGGCAGCTTTAATAGTTATTTAAATGTAGTCATTACTATTTTACAATATTTTGATAATTTTTTCAAGAAGATATTATTTTTCCAATGAAACATCTGTTGAAGTTTAAAAATAGATAGGGTACAGTAAGAGTCTTTGGTATGTATAATTGTCTTACTTCTTTAAAATATTCACATTTAAAAATATAATGATATTCATCCGCAATGTCTTGGCATTTACAAACAGTACACTTTCTATCTAATAAAGGGGTGTGATTCCATCTTCCACATTCAATCGGTAAAAAATGGCAAGAAGTTCTGAAAAGTAGTAGTGGTATGTACACTCGTTTTGGTAAATTACACAGATATGTTTCCAGAGAGATATTATCTTTAATGACTTTATAGAATTTTCCTTTACTTGAATTTGTGACATCAGAATTCCACCGTTGTATAAACTGATCTTCCAAACAAGTTCTAATCACAAATGTAAGCTAATCAACTGATGAAAATGACTGATTTATCCAAACATTGTTATTACCTGTCGTAACAAGAATATGTTTAACAAACTTTAGCCAATTTTGGGGTTGATTATTTACAGTGTAGTTATAATACAAATTTTTATACACAATTAATGAAAGTTTGGTGGCTTTTCCAGATAGCAATCCTCCCCAAAAAGTGATGATTCTTGTCATGACAGTAATATACAGAGGTAGTAGTCGCCTTTTACGACGGGTTGCTGAAAACCTAGTCTAACCCGGATTTTCACGGGTCCCACAAGAACTGATTTATTTTATCAGATGTGACCATATGGATGATAAGCAGACTTTGTTCTTTTAATACTTGCATGTATTGTGCTTGTACCAACGCAAAATGGCGAGGCAAGGCGAAATGCATTAAAACTGATTTTAGAGGTTTTCGTGAATCGTGTTTCAAATATGTGAACGTGAGCACATCTTTGACCCTAGTTGATTTACTGGACGTCAGCTAAACACACATGTGGTTAAAGATACATCTCGAGTTACGGTTCTGCACTCTATAACCATACTTCTGTACTTAACCATGTCATAACGTCAAAATTTACAAGTGATAGAAAAGAATTTTTTTTTAATTATTAGACATATAAAATGTGTCCGGTAATTTTCAGAGTCATATAGTGTGACATTAAAATCTGTTATTACCTCTGGGTAAAATAGGGGTCCTTGTCACACCTCGTCATTTTTAATATTTTATCACAACTGAACATCCGACTATATCTTTTTGGTAACAGAAACAACGAAAACCATCGTATTTGATTGTATCCTTACCGAATCAAGAGAAAAACGGTGTTCTCATCTTAACAAAAAAGATACCGAGAGATTTTCAATGTTTTTAAATTGCTGACTCTTAACATCTCGTATCTGACATTTTGTTAACAAAGTGTCCATGCTTTGTCCAGCCTCGTGCAAAGTGGTGCTCGGAATGTCCGACGTAAATGACCCGTCCAGCCCCAGTTGACGTTGTTACCGTGTCATGCAAAAAAGGCAGTGTAAACCTTGAATTCTAAGCTGCAAATGTGTATAACAATGACAGATTAAGGGGGAAACAGATCAGATCGGTAGAGGGCAAATGTCAATAAGGAAAGCTCGTCTATGTTAGTCCCTATTTAAAACAATCCGTCACACATTCCCCCACATGCCTGTACCCCGGTAATGAAAGGTAGTTGCCTGAGGAGGATGGGGAAGGACTCATCCCCAGTTGCGGCACGTCCCCGCCCATAGGCGGCTAAATATTGACACAAACCCGCATGAGGCCATGGTTAGCCATCCAATCAGAACGTTTGCTAGTGGATTTGAACCGGCATAGGTGAGCGTGGCTGGACCTCTGTGGGTGAAGGACGTGTGGTCAGTACAGAGGGACAAAACGTGACCTATTAACCATTAACCAATGATGTATCACGGATATTTTCGTGGTAAAGTTGGAGTTGGTTGGTCTAATGCGTAGACAGTATATCTCTCTATCTGTATATCGAGAGAAAGAGAGATAGAAAGAGAGAGCGCGACTTTACAATGTGGAGATACGTCGCCGTTAAGTCATACTTAACTATAGAATGCGATCAGTTGTAACTAATACTTTACTATAGACGGACGGAAGTCGTAACTCATACTTTACTATTGATGGACGGTCGTCGTAACTCATACTTTACTATAGACGGACGGCAGTCGTAACTCATTTTATTTAGGACGGACGGCAGTCGTAACTCATACTTTGCTATAGACGGACGGTAGTCGTAACTCATGCTTTACTATAGACGGGCGGTAGTCGTAAGTCATACTTTACTATAGACGGACGGTAGTCGTAACTTATACTTTACTATAGACGGACGGTAGTCGTAACTCATACTTTACTATGGATTGGGGCAGTTGTAACTCGGCAGACATCGTTGCTCGTGCGTAACCGCGAAGAGCTGTCTATTCATATTGTGATTTATGGTCTCGAATTGGCGCAGGAAAGCCATTGTTTCAAACGCCAGTATGGGCCAAGGGGTTATCGAAGCTGACAGGATTAGAAACTAATGGGTTCGAATCCCACATCACGGTTATGCCCCTAAACGCTGCCGCACCATATTTGTGATTTTCACAAACCAAACGTGGTATAACAAATACCATATCCGTCAAGGGACGGTTAACGTCAGTACATAAAAATGACGCCGTGATATAACTGAAATATTGTACAAAGCAATCAGATTTGCCCATCACAACGAACACAATCTTATTTCAGGTTTGTTTCTTCTATATGGATAACATTAATTTTGTGAATCTCTCCGACCGTGTTTGTTTGTTGTGTTAACGCCGCACTCAGTAATATTCCAGCTATATGACGGCATCCTGTAAATATTCGAGTATGGATCTGACAATCGAGTGATTGATATCATAAGCAACGGCCCCCGTCGGGGTATGATGACAAGCAATCAACCAAGTCACCGAGCCTGTCGACCTGTCCGATTTAGTCGCCTTTCGGAGTCCTAACGGGTGCAGATAAGGTAGAAACGTTAATTAAATGTACCGTATTCGACGTAATAAGCGCTCAGGGTGCTCTCAATATTAGAAATAGGGGTCTCTTAATAAAATATAATTTTGGTGAGGAAGACAGAGTTGAAAGGTCGTATATTTCGTGGTTTATGTCGACAGCCTGAAATGATTGAAAAGAAAAGTATGTGCGTATTATACACGACAGATATATTTTCCAAAATTTAATTGCCCATAATTAAGGGTGCATAAAACACACGAGTGTGTATTATACACCAATAAATAAGTGTACATTGATCAATCGGAAGGGGTGCTAATTGGGATTGTTCACTAGCTAAAATATTAGCAAATATTGCCGTGAGCACTTATTACGGCGGGGCACTTATTACGTCGAATGCGGTACTACTAAAAAAAAGTTAAGAACACCCCCGTCAAAAAAATTAAAGAACATCCGATTCTTTGCCATGACATATTAACTCTAGTAAAATGAAACAATCAAATGTTCTTTAACTTCTTTCTAGTTGTGGATATACTGAACAAAATAAAATAGGGGTCATGAATATTTTGTGTGCTCTGTCTTCACTACAAAAAACAATCCTAAAAAATATGCATGACCCCTAACTTATTTTGTTCAGTATATGCTTTGTTGGTTTTTTTTGTTCAGGATGTGTTTTTTTCAGAATAATACGAAGAGTCACGATGCGACTGCTTCTATGACAAATGTGTTTTGATAACAAGTATCGATTTTTTGGAACAATTACGTTCAACAAGTATCAGTGTGAAAGCTACATTAAACCTACATATATTGATATATAATCCTTCTACAACACAGGTGAATGTGTTCAAAGTGTAGCACAGACGTCAGCTGCTGTTGAATATACACTTATAAATTATACGATCCACCTGTCGGACGAGTTTTACCTTATTTCTCTCTTGTACTAATTCCCACCTCCTCCTCAACCCCACCCCCTACGAGTTCATCCTTCGACCACGCCCACCTGTCCCCGTAAGCGGCGCGTGTGCTACGAAAACCAACCCTCATACCTGTCTTTTATACTCAATAATGTTTGTACTACATAGCCTAGTCGGTGGAATGTGACCTACCTTACTAACAAAAAAATAATCAATAAAACGAACGAAACACGAAAACTAAATGGCCGCGGTATGTGCTACAATGCAGGCATATTTCACTCAGGCGTTGCTTTCCCCAACCCTAGTCGGGAGACTGGTTAAGGGCCGGAGTGGTCAACCGTCTATATTTAGGGCAAACTTCACCTATATGCTTGTGTAGTGGGCTATGACAAACGACCGCATACCTGAGACAAGTCCACCTTAGCGTAAATTGTCGGCCGTGCTCGTTTGCAGTGCAGTGAAGCACGATAGGGCTTGTGCCTGGACACTTAGCAGAGACAGGGACGAGAAGACCCGAGGATACCTGATTTGTGACAGGAGAAATTGAAACGCGGTGGTGTCGGCATACGTACATTCATAGTTTGGACAGGTAAATAGCTACAACGCGATTTACCTGGATCTTACCTGTGACGCGAGGATACACTGATAGCGTCCGTCCCTCTCTAGGGCACACACAGATGCTCGGTTTAACTTCGCCTGTCAACTAGACAGTGGACAGGCCCGCTTAAATTGACAATTATGCTTCATCTCAAGATGGTGTCGTTGTGGAAATTGTGTATTATTGTGCTATTGTTTGAGTATTGTTCGTGTCAGAATGCATGCGAGCAGCCGAATGTTGCAGGAATCGTTGTGGGAAGTGTTTTTGGGACTTTGGCAGTTGTAGCCCTGATTCTAGGAGTTGTAGCGTTCTTGCTGTGGAGACGAAATAAAGGTAAGATACACTCATATATATAGATACTGATGCTACCTTGTTTTCTCGCCTGTCATATGATTAATTGTCACATCAGCCAGGTGTTTGATAACTGTCAATTAGACAGTTACAAGTTTACTTGCTCCACTCTTAATTTCAGCTCACCCATCACACGAACAATCTCAAAAACAATATAAAAATATTTGAACAAATATTACATTAACCAAATATCTTTTATCATGTATTTAATTGTTAGTGAATATGTAGACATGATAAATGATATTCCAATATATACTAAACAAACATTTTTCACACTAAAAATATCACATATGCAGGTAGGTGAAAAATGAATTTTATCAATGACATCCTCATTAGCAAATAGTTTCCCCTTATCATCTTCATGATTTTCTTGACATGTGGACACACCCCTTTCCATTACAATCCTACACGAGCATATTTCTTTAAGAGTCTCTTTATTCAAGCCAGTGTCATGTAAGAATGTTGACATCAGAGGTATGCTCAGTGGTGTATTGAAATTGACAATTGAAATCTACACAAGAAAGTGACACCAGTGAAGCATAGATTGACATATTTTATCAGGTAAACAAACAGGTGTATTGATCCGGGTAAGCTACAAAGGTATGAATGGATCTTAACAGGTGAAAATACATACCAGTATCGTTAAGTAGAAAGGGCAACATTTATTGGCATAAGGTGGTAAATTGATTGTTAATTTTGATATTGACTACAAGGTATTTAATCATCAAATATATTTGATCATTTTTTAATTTCTCTTTAAGTTAATATGGTAGATATTGAGTGATGAAGATAATGCTCAATGCAGTCATTGTTTGATGGTTCTTTTCCTGTGTTGTAGTCTGACATATGAACTTGCATTCCAATGAATCTGTAACATCATCAACAATATTTATGTAGTTTGTTTCTTGTTGAAAGCCACACTCAGCAATATTCAAGCTATATGACGGCGGTCTGTAAATAATCGAATCTGGACCAGACAATCCAGTGATTGATATCATGAGCATCGATCCACGCAATTGGGATCGTAGACATGCATCAACCAAGTCAGCGAGCCTGACCACCCGATCCCGTTAGTCGCCTCTTACGACAAGCACAGTCACCTTTTACGGCAAGCATGGGTTGTTGAAGACCTATTCTACCCTGGATCTTCACGGGTTATTTATCTAGTATATTGATAGGTGTGTTGTACCTTTCATCATCAGAAGACAAGACTTCATTAAGCCATCTGTGAAACGCAAACTGACATCAGAGCATCTCAGCATAAGTTATACATGTATAAACTCAAACATATACTACTCAAAAGAAGTTAAGGATCCCCAGATTCTTTCACATTAATTCAATTAATCAATCATGCCAATTAGGAATATTTATTTTATGCATTTGTTTTTCAATGTGGTAGTATGAAAAAGATATGAAAACAAAGATGGACTTTTTTCCTAGGATATTGAGCATTCTGTATTGGAGTAGAATTAAAACAAAATTGTTGTCATTGTTTCATGAAACTGGCGCCTTCATAATGCTGATATTCTATATGTTAATATGTGTAAGATACATACAAAAATATTATAGTTATTACAGTTTCTAATTTGACTTTTTTACAATAACCATGACAACAAAATATTTGTAAATATTTATGAGCCCGAATTTACACCATGGCTTACAAGTTAATGAACCATGTGTTTTGCCTCCAAGCAGTGCCAGATTGGATATGGAACTTTCACCCGGGAAAGATCAAATATTTAACGTACACCTGCCTAGCCATTAAACTATCACACATCTTGTGATGGTGGGCCTCTGTTTACATCTACTAGAGAAGATGAGTTGATACTATACTACTCAACTTTTGTCAGGGATAATCAGTTATGTTATTCTTGCTAAGTGTACACTTGATGTAGCGTAAGAATAAAATATCCCTGTGAAAAGTGGAGTAGTATATTTGAAAGTATCAAGCTCCCTGCCCCAATACCCATCCACAAATGATTTCTGAACAAAATTCAGAGGTTCGTTCTAGATATCTCTTCCTCCATTATGTCCATGTTGAGTTTATTATTTTTATATTGAAGTGAAGATTTGAGAAGGTTAACTAAGTTTACCAAAGTGGAAACTTTGTCTTTAATAAGCATCCATCTTTAATATATGGAGGCATGAGTGGCCCAGTTGTCTAAGGCGCCATGATTCCCTGTGCAGAGTTGCGTCCCTTGGGCGAGCCAGAAACCTATGATTGTGGGTTTGAATCCAAGTTCGCCCCGATTATGTTTCTAGGTTTGTCAGCACCATACCCACTCTTGTGGGTTTCACCGAAGTGGTAAACGTCTGAGACCTGCATCACTTCATGCTTTCCTCCCACATTAAGCTGACACGCCGCGATATAACTGGAATACTGTTAAAAGCGGCGTTAAACCCAACTCACTCACTCACTCTTTAATATATTTTATGTCTCTGGACATTTAATATGTAGCGAAAGTCGTACCTGAATCCTATTGTATATTGGAGAACATACAGAGACTAGGGGTGATACATCCTATACGTATCGAGTACATATCAATATGCATCGAGTCGTGACCTATGTATCATGATACGTAAGGTATCATGACATTGCTGTATCGCACTCCCAACAGAAGAAGTTTGTCAATTATTTGTTATGTATTTCTTCCATAAAATATAATATATATGATAATATGATATACATACAATATATATGTTAGAAAACATCTGTGCACCATAGAATATAAGAGTATGTTATAAAGTAGCCTTGTATTCTATGACAACACCCAATAAATAATCAAATCTGGACCAGACAGTCCCATGACTGACATCAACGATACGATGATATGCATCAACCAAGTCAGTGAGCCTGATCACCCAATTCTGTTAGTCACCTCTTCCAACAGCCATGGGTTTCTGAAGACTAGTTCTAACCAGGATCTTCACAGGGGCATAGCTCTGTAGGGGTGAGTGAGTTGGGTTTAACACCGCTTTTAACAGTATTCCAGTTATATTGCGGCATGTCAGCTTAATGTGGGAGGAAAGCCCGAAGTGATGCAGGTCTGAGATGTTTACCATTTCGGTGAAACTCACAAGCATGGGTATGGTGATGACAGACAGACAGACAGACAGTTTATTCAGTAAGAAGGCCATAGGCCCATAATACAGACAATGGTTGATTGCATGAACTACGCATGCCAAGGAAGTAGTCGATTTAAGTTTCTCTTAGCTGTTGGACTTTATATAGATATAAACATGTGTTATATACAACATCAAAGTTTTCTGATGAAATAATTTCAGTAAAAGATGTTACAGTTTGAAACTTGATATACTGTTTAAGATACATATTTCTTAGGGCTGAATAACGCTCACATACAAGTAAAACATGAAATTCATCTTCAATAAAATATATACCATTTTCTATACAATATTTACATAATCGTTCAGTGTATGGGACATTTGTGTATCTCCCCAAGTCAATTGCAAGTTTAAACTTGCTACATCTGAAACGAGTCATACATATTCTCAGATATACTGGTATGGGGAGTGTAAGATATTTTTCTACATTCAACAGGGATTTAAAATGTTTATAATAAAAGGTATCAGATATACTATTGATAGAACTATACCATGATTGGTGAAGGTTATGGTGATGACAAACCTAGAAACATAATTTGGGCAAACAATACAATAATAGGTTTCTGGCTCACCCAAGGGACGCAACTCGCGGCCCCTAAGACGACTGGGCCACCCATGCCCCACCCCCCTCTGTAGGAGGTAGGGTAGCCCAGTAGCTCAAGCATTTGTTCATCACACTGAAGGCCCAGGTTGATTCTCCTAATAGGAACAATGTGTGAAGCCCATTTCTAGTGTTCGCTGCTATGATATAGCTGGAATGTGCTAAAAGTGGTTTAAACTTAATTCACTCACTGTAGAGATAAGTATTTATGTCATAAAGAAGTTCTCATTTCTATAACTTATATTTTGGTGCTGCATTTTGCTGTTTCAGAAAACCTGAATAACATATATATATTTATTGTCAGAGACATTTGAGTAGTTGAATAACAAATTAGCAGATTGTCAAATTTTTTGCTTTTTTCATATGATGAAAGCATGCTTGCTTGATCCAAGTGTCCCATAGTCTATGGTACCACTGTTTTCTGTGCTTAAAAGGCGACTATGCTTGTTGTAAGAGGCGACTAACTCGATCAGGTGGTCAGGTTGGCTGACTTGGTTGATGCATATCCCAATTGTGTGGATTGATGCTCATGATGTCAATCACTGGATTGACTGGTCCAGATTTGATTTTTTGCAGACTGTAATCAATTATCTGGAATATTGATGAGTGCGATGTTAAACTACTAACAAACAAACTTTCTATGCAGAGTTGCTTTCCTTTATTGTTCCAGGATCAGCTTATTTTGTTGCACACCAACTTTTCATAGTGAATGTGATATATGATATGTGAATTTTGGTACTGATTTTTTTATACACAGAAATTCTGCAAAACATGAAGCCTGTCACGTGCTAACTAAATAATGCGACGTATTGACTTAAAATCATATATACCAAAACATTAATGATTAATGTTTTGGTATATATGATTTGGAGTCAATTGATTAATTTTTATCCTTGTTAACCATTAACAAGATGAAATGACTTTCAAACCTTTTCTGCAAGAATTATAAATATCAAGTCATTGATGCTTTTCCAAGAATTAAGTATAATTCATTCCAATATTTTTTATAAATGTTACAAAGTAACATCCGTTTCCTTTCATGTCAAAAGACCCTAAAAACAGTTAATTTCATAATTGCCTTAATTGCTGAAGAAAAAGTACCATTTTGAAGCATTAATTTTATATCTTTCCTGCAATTTTCTATTTTTTGTTGATGAAGCATATCTGTATATATTAATACAGTGTCTTCGTTGTTTGTATTTTCCTCAAAGGAAATGTTATACTTCAACAAATCAAAGAGCATGCTACACGTGCCTAT